AGCCCGCGGGTCAGCAAAAGCGTTGCGGTTGGCGTAAGTATTTTTTCCTTCCTTGAGGTTATTGAACTCAGGCGCTCCTTTGGAAATAGCGTAAGCCGGAACTGGTATAATTCCCAGAAATTTCCTTCCCGCTGGAAGTCCTGCCTGATGGGGCAGGCGGTGCCAGGCCCCTTGCCGCGCTCTCTTGCAAAGGCTGTGTTGCATCCACCACAGGGGCCTTGCTCGGAGCTGCGGGGCTCGTCCCGAGCCTCGGGTTCGGCTCGTCAGCGGGCGCTCCCAGCGCGTATGGGTGCGAAGAGAGCTTCGGACCAGTTTAGGCTAAACGCGCAGAGCCAGGGCTTCAGAAAGGTAGGGTAAGAAGTGAGCTGTTCTGGTCATTTTAGTCTAGACGTTTTGTATCTTTAGCGTGTTTTTCAACATGTCCGAATTCAGCAGTTTCCATAGTGTCTGTCAGTTCTAAATTAGAAGATACCTGAAGCTATCTTGCTGCTTGCAGACTATGATTTGCACTTTGTCAAATTATGTGAAAGTTCCGTGTTTCTTATAGGCCCGAATGACCCGTTGTTATGCCCCTTGCGGACTTCTGCCGTCTCAATATGAAAATATGCTGGAATGCAGAAACTTCAGCTTAAGTCGTAAATAACAATTGACCAGTTTCAAGTTTTTTAAAGAGAACCCATCTGCTCATTTTGAGAGGCTCTCATACTTAGGAGGAGAGGTTTATCCAGATGTGCCCTGTCCTGCTCCAGAAGTGCAGATATCATGTGTATGTTGTTGCGTAAAATGACGTTAATGGTAAGTTTCCCAGACTACATGAAGGAACTTGTGGAACAAGGATGACGTTAAAATCTTAGTAAAATTACTCATTTAAAAAGAATAAAAAAAGAATGTCTTGCTCCTTTAAAATCCACCATTCTGAAGTTAAGTTCCTTCTTAGTGGTCATACAATGATGCAGGAAATACTGTGTTAGATAAGCAATAATATGTGTATTATACTCTTTAAGATTAAAAAAATGGGACAAAGCCTCCCCACTAAAGAATCTGTAATTGAAGAACCTGGTCATGGATTTGAGTTTCTGCTTACCTAGTGCTTTCCACTGCAGTGGTCTCAGCAAGAAGAGATAACGTTAACACAGCGGTGTATTAATCGAATGGCGAAGCAGCATATGGGAATGGTTTACTGTTCAGTTTAGATAACACAAAGTGGGAACTATTAAATTTTATCTTTTGGCCCGTCATTGACCAAAGTTGACATGCTTAATTATTGGAACTTCTAAATATCTTCCAGTCTACCCTTTCGTCTAAACCTGCTCCTTCATGTAGTGTACAGGACTCCCTCCTCAGCTTCCAAATTCTTGTGAAAACCCACTTTGTCTGAGACGCCTACGCTTTTCACCATACACATACTTTGTGCGGTTGTGTCAGACAGTCATATCGCATGTCAAAGAGTAGGTATTACAATTTATGTTCCTGTTGGTCTGCCATTTTGTATCAGCACTTAGAAAAAAAAAAAATCAATTAAAAGCAGCAATACAAAAAGATGGAAATTACTCTCTCGCTTTTTTTCTTTTCAAATTTTGATACAAATTCACTTGATGAACTTTTGCTTTGCTATATACTGCTTATCTCATTTTAGTCTGCAGTTACAGCCAATATTTTAAACCAGAAAGAATAAGACAAGATGTACTTTAATTTTAAAAAAAGCCAATTTTAAAGTAGGAGGTGGTCCTTTACCTGTACAATTTCAGCAAAGGTAAATTAAGCAGTTTATGTAGAAATTACAATCGCTTGTGTTTTGGGCATGAGTTACTCTGAGCATAACAATTTTGCAAATTATACCTGTAGATTAAATGTGACCCTAATTTATTTAGCAGCCCAGACCAGAAGTTATTATTGTTTTTCTTGATAGTAAATGCAGTCCTCTCAATCACATAATTTTTTTTTTAAGAGACAGAAATGATAAAAGCACGTAACTTGTGCCAGTAATCATGTAGACCTGCTTCTAGCCCCGACAGAGGTTTCTTGCATAGTTTTGGGGAAGTCACTTATGTCTTTTACGTCTTACTTTCTTCAAATATATTGGTATTACTAGGTTTGCTGTGATTTTAGTATTCTCTATATGTGTTAATGTACTCTTTTTAAGATTGGTATTTCATTATCTGATATAAAGAAAAACTTAAGAGCAATCAGACAGGAAAGCTATTGCCATTTTAAAATTTTCTCCCTTTGCATTGGATTTATAGTCCACCACTCCTATTAAAAAAAAAAAAAAAGTAGTTTGCGGTTTCATTAGAGCTATGGGTTAACTCCATTTTCATCAACATGTGCAGATCTTTTATGGGAGAGATACTTTTGCTCTGCCATCTACTGATTCATATATGCTTATGTGTTATGGGATTCTCTGCCAAAGTTTTAAGAGTTTCTTGGAACTCCAGTCATGCGACAGTATTACTTAACAATGGACTGGAAAGCAAACGCTTCCTTTCTTGAGAATTCCAGGAAAAACGAGGAAAAGAAGAAGGATTTTTTTTTTTTTTTTTTTTTTTACTTATGCTGGTGCAGTTTGCTCTTTTTTTCCGAGCAGCAGCAAAGGCACTTGTGTTCTTTTCGAAAAAATTATTACTATGCTTGGTCATATTTTGTCTGTTCCCAAAATGTGAAAAGCTTAGCTTTTGAGTAATGGTTTTCTTGAGCATTTATGAGAAATTCATCTTGCAAGTATGTCCTTTATTACTAGATGATCAGTAACTGCCTCAGAGAAGGTCACAAAAGAATTTCCATTCTAATCTTCTGTTTTCTCTAACAATGTTCTTATCCCTTAACCTCTAAGATTTGAAGTTTTCCATGTTTAACCTTTAGAAGCTTGTTTTAAAGAGTGGTCAATCATGCATGTGAGAATGGAAGAAATATAGTATCATTAAATGTGACTTTTCTGACAAGCACAGAAACTTGGATTATGAGGTAATTGCCTTGGAGCTGAATCTGACCTACTGAAGTAAAGATTGATCATAAGTGAAGTGCTAGTACTTCTAAATACATTGAAAAAATCAAGATTCTATTGCTACATTTCCTAATAGTTCGATTTATGTAGATATATTTGTCAATAAAAGGTGTGGTCTTCTTTATAGAAGTGATTTTTCTGTCCCTTACTCAACTGAGAAAGAATCCAGCTGTTGCCTACCTCATGTTTATTCTATTTGGATATTTGACAACAAATATTTAGCAGCTGTGCTTGAGAATCTTCCCAGTTTGAGAGAGGAGTTATTTGACGGTATATGGCTTTGGTAGCATGCCTTTGAGGCTGCACATCCTTACATGTATACAGTGCCCATATGCATACTTCCAAAAGGTCATTGAATTTTTCCTAAGCTAATCACTTAACAAGTTTATACTGCAGCAGAGTTGCTGATCCCTCGCCAATTCCTTTTGTGCTGGTGAAACTCAAATCAGTTAGAAGCGGCAAAGGTTGTTCTAGTACTGTAGCTGGAGCAGAGGGTATTGCACCACCATCAACAAATACGTTTCAGTGGTCTCTTCTACTTCAGAATCTAACAAAACTTCTGCAGGAAGCCCAACACCACTCGCCTGCAAAGACCTTCTGAGAAGTTCTCTGTGTGATTGTCTAAAAAGGAGAGAGAATCATGAGGTTTTGAAATCAAAAATAACGTGCCACCTGGGAACTTTGCAGATGTAAGCAGAGCAACTGTAGCACGCAGGTAGTAAGAACACTGCGTCCGGACTCGGGAGATTAGAAGATACCAAGAGCGTGAGAGGAAGGGACGAAAGGGTTGTGTATTAACAGACAATATGCTGCTCAACAAGTTTTATTCCTGTTTATACTGAATGCAAAGTCATGATTATTCCATATTAGTTAGCATGACTTCACCTACAAATTTACCAAAATTTTCAATGCATCACATAAAAGAATCTTGGGGAAATAAGTTTTTTGAAAGTCTTAAATTAAGTATTTCATCTGTTTTCCCTTTACTTAAGCAGCTTCACTATGCTTAAGGAATTCTGATATGTAAAATCTGCATAATTTTCCTTCTCCGACGTTGTGCTGGTTATATCATGATTGGGTATGTGTTTTACAACTTCTTTCTGATTATTTACTGTTTTAATGAATCTGCATTCTGTTGAAGCAAGTCTCAGAGGTCTTTTCCAAAATCTTTTTGAAGAGGATGATGTTCTTACTATCTAGGATACTGGTGATAGGACTTGGAGAAAATGTTTTAGTCGATAGATCAGATGCTTCATTCTTCAATTCTGTCAGTTACCCGAGTGGAATCCTAGGACTTTGGTGACATGTTGATTGTCAATGATTTTGGTCTAGTGCTTACCCTTTTAATATCTCGCATACTAGCAGCTTTGCTTTTCTAGTAGCTGCAAAGAGTAGGTCCAATGCCAGTGTCAGTCTCGTATTCTCTGTAATTAAAACTTTGCAGAAAAGTCTTCTAGCTCATTTGTATTATCCTTATTCTTCTACACTTCTCATTGTTCCGTGAGCTAACTTTAGGGGGATCAGGCACTCCAGGGGATCTGAATCCTAACATCTAGCAGAGTGGTAGAAAGAACTACATGCTTACCTTAACTGGAACATTGATGTAAGCTTATAAGAATGTTTTCTGTTGCAGAATTTCAGCATAGCTTGTCCTACTGAACCTGGCCAGTGTCAATGATGACAAGACTCCCAAGTGCTGCACTGCATACTCTGTGGATCCTTTTCTTTTCATATACCACATATGAAGGTATCTTTGTTAATGTTTTAAATTACTATACTGAAGTTTTTACGGACAGCATTTTCCCATGGCTAGTAGGCAACAGTATTACCATTAATTAACTAATATAAAATATGTAACTTCAAGTGTCAAAAATATCCATATACTAGAATAAATTCTTAGATTTTTTTTTTTCTTTTTATTGACCTTTTCCTTATGGGCAAGAAAAAATAGGAATTTGCAGGAAGAAGAAACTGAGGTTTGGAAAGTGATCTCTCTGCTTCCCCATTATCTAATCTCTATTGGACACCTTGCTGCAAACAAGGTGCTCAGCAATAACCCAGGGGCATCTCTGTAGAAATCCCGTAAGAGCAGAAAGCACTAGTCTCTCATTTGCTTATTTTCATAACTACCACTGCTCGTCATGTGGGACCTTGAGGGAGCTATGCTCATGAAATGGAGCCCGTAGATCTACTGCTAAAGGGCATCTGTCAATTTGTTTTCTCCAAAGTGTGCAGAGTTACTAAGTCAGAAAATTTAGTTGGCTGGATTTGAACAAATTTTGCAGGCACTTGCTGTGAGATGTTATCTGCTCTGACTTGTGCCTGTACAGGGGCAGATGACTGACATGTGATGTCCTATGTGTTCTTTACTATGCCATTCTTTTGGTCTGGCAGGACGTGTGGGTGCATTAAGTCTTAACGCCTCTTGTTAGCTAATGGTTATTTTCTGAAGTTCAACTGGCAGGGGCTGAATATGAAATTTTTTTTTTCCTTGTATCTTTTGTGATATTTTATTATAAAGACAAGTTAAATATATAAAATCATGTTTTCTGACAGTGCATTGTTGTTCTCTGGAAGATCTTGCATTTTGCTTTCTGTAGTTTTTAAGTAGCTCTACAGTAGTCTACAGTTATTTGGTTTTCTTTTTTTTTTTTTTTAAAGCAAATGAAAATAGTTAAAAGGAAATTAAAAATAGCCTGTCTCTAAAAAAGAAGGTTTATTAACTACTGTCTTAGGGGCTACGAAATAGTACAATTTGGATTTGAATTAATGAGAAGGATCAAGCTTTGTGAGAACGCATTGACTGGGTCATCTGATCTAGGCAATCCCACGTTTTCTGTAAATTATCACGGTTTAATTTTACA